ACGCAGAAACCCACTAATTTTGTTTTTAAAATCGACACCATTAGGCTGCTTCGATGATAGTACAGTGTGTGACCGATCTGATGAAATGTTGGCTGAAATTCTTAAATCCCTTTTCGATTAGGAAGGATTACTTAGGTGGGGTCGTAATGCTGCTTGTCAAGTGACATAATCCCATAGCAGTTCGGACTCGCTAGGGTGTCGGCTTTTGAATGCACGTCTTTTTAACCTCCCATAAAAGCCACACTTGGAAAAAGATGACTACTTCAGTAGCATGTGTTTTTCACACTGATTTTCGATGGTCCTATAAACTCAAATATTTTTATAGAAAACATGCACAAGAATATGATTTCTTTTACTCGTTTGGTAGAAAATAGCATAGTCTTTACATTTTATATCCGAGGAAAGCGTATATTTAGGTTCTGAAGAAGTTTTCCAATTCCTGAATAATTTTGGGCCAGATCAGCCGTTGCGTAACCATTTAGCGATTCCAGTCTACAGGGTGTATGCTTTCCGCATAAGAAAAATCACATATTCCTCTATGTCTTTAAGACGATACCATACTGAGTTCATAAAATTTTGTAGTGAATGTGGACTATGTTGTACGTTTCATGAGGAGCATTCGTAAACGGAGATGTCCGACGTTCTATGTATGGACATCGCACGGTCTTAAAAATCTCACAATTAGAAACTTTTTTTAAAAGCTTAATATACGCTTTCTTCGGGTATAAAATGTAAAGACTATGCTATTTTCTACCAAACGAGTAAAAGAAATCATATTCTTGTGCATGTTTTCTATAAAAATATTTGAGTTTATAGGACCATCGAAAATCGGTGTGAAAAACACATGCTACTGAAGTAGTCATCTTTTTCCAAGTGTGGCTTTTATGGGAGGTTAAAAAGACGTGCATTCAAAAGCCGACACCCTAGCGAGTCCGAACTGCTATGGGATTATGTCACTTGACAAGCAGCATTACGACCCCACCTAAGTAATCCTTCCTAATCGAAAAGGGATTTAAGAATTTCAGCCAACATTTCATCAGATCGGTCACACAGTCTGTACACTGCAGTCGGAATAGATGATGGAATTATACGCCGGCCGCGAACTACTATGCAAGGCTGGATTATAGTGTTTAGACCTCAGCGAGCAGTCTGGTATATTCTATCGCATCCCATGCTTGAAATAAGCTCGAACGTACAAAGGTAAGGCTGTGTTCAACCTCGGATCGTGCATACGGAGACATAAGCTGGTTACACGATGGACTATGAATGTGTACAAGTGGCTGACCACACCTTCGAAAGAGACCACGAGTTTAGCTTAGATAAACCGCAGATTTAAGCCTAGGCCTCTGACGCGAACCCATTCAGTTAGTGTACGCATAGTTTGACGATGTCCAGCTCGTTCGTCCCAGCAGGGTGAACGCAGAGACGGTGATTTGCGCGTAAATTCGTTTATGGTAATGGTAAGCTTGCGCAACATCCGCCTCACTCTTTTCTCCTCCCCCCTCCTGTACCTGGTGTCATGATAAAGTCAAGAAGACCAAAGACGGGAGAACGCGTAGGTGGATGGCGCTGCGAAAACCCGGACCTAAGCGCGCCACCACACCGGCTTGGATTCAACTGAGTGGGAGTAGCATAGAGGCTGCATTAAGAAGCAGTCGTTGCGGCCTGACTTTCAGTCCACCAGTTGGTTCCTCCGTGCAATCACACACTAAGTTAACTGCGATACCCGTGTTGAATCGGCAGCTGTCAACCTTCCAAGCCTCGGCTTTTAGCACACCGTGACACTCTTAGGTGTGTCAGATTGTTTGTAGAGAGGTGAATGCGCACCAGTCCGTTGTCCGAACCGATCAGCTAACTGATGCTGAGATAGCTGACAACAGCACGTCAGCGCGTGACACACAGAGACAACCTGGCCTCCACACGCGCACACCAGGATTTCACACTCAAGGGGTTATGGTGCCAGGATCTCGCATGCAGCAAAGGAGCCGCGTGGCGAAAGGAGCCCAAGAGCACAATTCTTACTTACATTAGAGGTGACAGTGGTGTGAGATGTTGGGGGTTTTCATGTGTGGTTCATATGCTGATTGGGCAATTTATGGTGATGTAATCATACCTGCAGTGATTTACCGCAGGTTTCATGGAGGCGCATGTGACCGAGTGGACCCATGCAATGGCTGAATATGCGATGACAGTGGAAGCATTTGAAGCGGTGGCGTCCAGGGTATGCTGATGCTCCAAGCACTATTTCGGCAGTCTCCGTGCGGTGGATCCGGAAGTGACCAACCAGCTCGATACGTGAGATGAATGTACGAGGTAGTGTGGGCAGGATAGATTGCCGTTGTGTTGCTGTTAGTGATTGTCGCGCTGGTAGATGGAGGGTTGATAAAGATGGGAATTAAAGGGTATCGGATGTGCAAATTGTGCTTAGTGCGTCGATATTCCGGTAAATTCCTCTGTTTTGAAAGCTTATGTAACCATATAGGCCCATTCGGTGTATGAATGTGCGTGGATAGTGTGGGCAGTGAAGATAAATGCGGAGAGTGGATGTGGGGATGCGCCTGGGGTGCCGGTCGCAATGGGATGGATTCGCAAGTGACCGACCAGGCCGATACATAGAGTGAACGTACGACGGCAACAAGGACAAATTGGGGCCGAGTCCACATCGCCGGTGGTGGTGGTCGTCGCACAGGTTGTGGTATATTAATCTTACGTCCGCACACAATCCTTACGCATTTATCCCTATGCCCGCGCCACAGAGCCTTCGTCGACTAAACTGCCTTATAATTTTTGGTTTTTACTGCTACTGTCACTTCTGACGATGGATTCTTCTACAAACTCAGATGTCAAAAAATGAACAAATGGTTCCGTCGCTTGGCCAATTCCTTTTGGTATTGTTCGAGCATATACCTAATTCTCGAATTTACACTCCCTATTTTCTAATTCCCTTGAAAAGGCATCGAATCGCCTGGCCAATGTATTCTGTCCTACTGGGTGAAGTGAAGGTCTAGAAACACGTTTAGGGAGTTTGGAACGATTAATCGTATTTGCATTTCATCTTGAGGAAAGAGGAAAATGTGAAGAGCATCTCTGGTCGAGAGGCCGAAAATGGTCTTTCAAAGGCAGTACATAATCGGCGCTCCAAGACTTCCCAATATATATCTTCCCTGAGGGTCAGGTGAACAAAGAAGTATTTTCCACTGCGGATGCTTTGATTTTTCGTGATAACTGTGTTTAGGCTGACAACAAACGTCCATTCGGACGGATTCCTGAGAAGATTGCGATGACAAAAGCTAAAGGAATTTGTTGCGTTCGTTTGGACCTCGTTCAATTCCATTCTTCTCTCAAAAGCTTACGTCTGGACAGCTGGGCGCCGTATCACGTGATTCTCGTCGCCATTTGTGTGCGTGTGCGTGAGTTTATGTGCGTCAGTTCTGGTTGATGTCCGCCGAATTTCGTCTGTGAGGTCAGAAACTACTAGGTAGGTACGTACGGATATCGGGTGGTGATGCGTGCATGCGTCATTGGGCACGATACATAGTCGCGTTCAAGCAGCTGTGTGGTCTATCGTTCGTACATGCGGCGGTCTAGGTTTGGTTAACCACGCTGCGTTCACTACGAGTGGTAAACCTATGAAACAGACGCCTAGATTAATCTTCAACCCATTTCCTGGCAATGTAAGCGCTAAAAATTATTATCGTTGTCCAAAACGTGCACGTTTAGGGACCTCGAAAATGCTGCTCTATGTCAACTAAAAGCAGTCAGCTTGCTCAGGTTTGAGAATCTTACGCAAGGCAGCGCAACAAGTGCTGATACTCCGATGAGCTAATTATGAAACCGCCTGAGTCCGTATATTAATCGATGCCTACTTACTCGTTCCCGAGGATCCAAGCAGAAACTACTGAGGATATGGAATGCTCGAACATATATAAAGGGCAGTTGAGGAGCGACTGAGCTCATTTCTTCAGATTACATGCTGGAATTACACATTGTCTCAAAATCACACCGCACAGTAGGGTCATAAAAAGTAAGAGCCAACTAAACTTCAGCTCAGTCGTCGAATCCAGTGACGTCCGCATGTGCTTCATACTACAGCGGGCAAATGGACGGTGACTTGCGCGTGTTCAGTTTATAGTAATGGTATGCTTCCGCTGCATCTACCGCATTCTATTCCCCCCCCCCCCATCCCCCTGCCTCTGGTAGTAAGGCGGTCTTGGGACGAACAGAGCAAGTTTGGGCTCCGTGGTTGACAAAGCCAAACAACTCGTCTACGAATACTACATACGTCTGGTCCGCGTACGATGCACCTGGTGTTCACCAAAACAAAAAATGGGCGACGGATCCAAACTGAGAGTGAGAGGGTGTCACAGAGTCAGCCCGTCGATTGGCAGCCTTCCAGGTGATGGCGTGATTGTGTGCCGTGATAGATTCGAGCCCACCAGATTGGTTGTAGTGAGAAATATGCGCTGAGAGTCGACCTCACCCTCTGTCCTCCCATCTCCAGGTACTAGTCGATTTTTCTAGCCAATTAACCAACTGATGCTGAGGCTGAGAGAGGTGGCTGACCGAGTTGAAAACAGTCCGTGTGCACGTGCCACACACTTGACCTGATCCCTACACAGGATTTTCCACAAAGGGGGTGGGCTGCTAGGATCTCACATGCAGCAAAGGGGTCACATGAGGAGGGAGCTGAAGGACACGCTCCTCACGTGCGTGAGAGGTGCCTAGTTCGTGCCTGCTGTGTATGGTATTGGACGTGGTAGTGTGTGTGTGCTGTGTGTCGATGGGCAAATGTGTGGTGATTAGGACCAGTCTGCGGTGGATGAGGGCAGGTTCCTTGGCTGAATATGCGTCAGTAGTGCTAGCAGTTAAAACGAGGACGAGGGATACATGTTGGTGCCCAAGGCTTCGGCTATTTAGCCTCTGTGTTGGGGATTCGCAAGTGACCGACCAGGCCCAATGCGCGGCCTAGGGATGTGACCGCATCGAAAGCAAGTTAGGGTCTAGTGCGCAGCGCTGGTAATGGGGGCGATGGTGGTGAGGGTACTGGTTGACAGGGTGTTGGGAGTGTTCTCACCGGCGATGGGAATGGGAAAGACCGTGGTCGTCGTTACTGTCGTCGCAGAACTTGTGACGGGCATGACGGGGGTGACGGTCGACCACGCCTTGGGTGCTGTGGGGTCTGCTGCAGGGGTAACGACGGAAGCAGGCGGAGTTGTGGGGTTGGTGTTGCACAACGAGGGCATGTTGGATGAAGTCGAGTGCGCACTTTATCGGTCAGAGGCGCTTGAGACTTACAAGCACCTCTTCTGGCCTT